TTGGTTCAGAAAGATGATCTAAATCTTTACCCGAAATTTTAGCCGATGTATTCAATGGCAAAGCTTCAGTTTGTGTACCAGAATCACTTTTAGCAATGGAAAGTGGATAAATTTTAGACCGATGACACGAAATACATTCATCTAACAGCTTCGATTTTTCTCCATTATCCTCACCATCTAGTGGCAGTGACTTTGCATGCTGAGAAATATCAGAATTTGAAGAGTTAAAAAGATTTGGAGGCAAAGAGACAACTGATGTACGTAAATTAGCAGCAGCAACAACAGTAATAGGTACATCGCTTGAAACTGGTGTCATTGTTTGAACCGGTGTTACCTGTGTTTGTGATGCATTTTGTTGCTGATTAAAAGAGCGAAGCAGTGCATCAGCCTGTATTTTCTGGGCATCTTTCATCATAGACATGGCTGCAATCATTAGTTTATTCATAGACTCCAGCATGTCGTTTGAAACAAGAGAAGTGCGAGAAGAAGCTTTCGAAGTAGTGGACCTAATTGATCGGCATCGAGATGGGATAGAGACTACTGAAGGCGCTAGTGGAAGTTTCGGCTTCACAGAAACTACAGATTTATCGCATTCTAAAGAGGATGCATCGCGTTCAGTAGAGCTACGCAAACGCGGACCTTCTACTTTCTTATCCTTATCGACTGGTAATTCTCGAGACATATAGAATTCTGATAAGGATATACTTCCTCGAAAATTAGATTTACACCACCACCTGCTAAACAGTTTCGGGTAGATCTTACCAGAATATCAGGAAGGTTAAGATATTACCAAAACACTATAAGAAGTTGAATCGTGGTGATGTAATTAATAGATAAAGAGATGACGCTAATAATTAGTAATTAATAGTAATAATAATACGGGCGATGTTGTTGTTGGTGCTGATTATACAAATCAATGTTGTATCAGCATCTGGGTAGGACCTCCAATTTGTAGTAGCACGTTAGTCCTCTATAACTTGCTATAACAAAAATAACCTTCAGTTCGGTTTTACACACCAACAACAAATTATTATTATGATAAAATATTTTACAGAAAAACTAACGTACAATAATGATGAAATATTAAGTCTTTTAATGTTTATTTTATGAAAATAATAGTAATGTACGATGGTTGTTGATGATGATCGGTGAAGTGCTTCTCTTCAATTGACGAAAGTTGATGAGGAGAAGGAGTGCAGAGCGAAATTAAAGTAATGCAAATGAAAACACTAAATTATATTTTATAATTTTAAAAGAATACTAAATATATACTAAATGTGAGATTTAGTTATAAAATTATAGCAGTAGAATCTCTTCTTCCTTTGTATGATAAACGAAGAAGACGACTGATGATGATGATTCCTCTTCTCTTAAGGTGAGAGAAGAAGAAGTCGAAGAAGTTTAGAATTTAAGTTTAGAATTTTTGAAGAAGAAGAAAAACTGATATATTTAATGAAATTTCGACACGAAGATAATGTGTCTCCACATTTCGTGTCACTATGAAACGAAATAATAATAAAAATCAATTATTAACTGATTTCATTCTCTCTATATAAAGAGCGCATAGAAGAAGTTTTTGAAACTTTTCAAGCGACAGAGAATAAAAGATGTAACGGCAAGCGGCCGTTACAAACACTTCCCTTGCGCCACGAGATTCGTCCTCGAATCTTGAGATAAGAGCTTCTAGTCTCTGCAGGAAAAATCATCAAGTTCTCCTCACGTAAGCTCGATTTACTCCGGAAAAAAGTCGAGTTTCTTGTGCGCAGCCGCCCTTAGTTGCTGCCGGGCAACTGTCCAGAAAACGTGGAAAACTTCGTTTACACCACATCGTTAATCCTGATTAGATTCATGAATACATACTGATACAAAAGCAAACCAGAGCATGAACCGCTCGCTGACTATGACTGATTTATTCATGTTTGGATTAAATAGATATAATATTGTTTATTCATGTGATTAAATAGATCATCAATCGGACAAAATGGGGCAATGCGTTGAAGGAAAATAATGTGTGGGGAGCTAATGTTGGGGAAATAATGGTGATCTGCATACATTTGAGGTAAAAAAGAAGAGAAGACCTATGGATGACGGGTTTAGACGAAGACACTTGTTGAAAGACACATTTCTCCCTTATTTCGTAGAAAAGGAGGAGCAAAAGTTTGGGAGGAAGATTCGAGAGAACAATGGAAAACATTGACCCCCCGCCCTCCAACATGAATTTATTAAGACCTGTGATAACCCCGTCCCAATGAAGACAGAAACAGAATGTATCGTTCCGAGGAAGAGTTGAACTCGGGCCATTTATGCGAAGGAGATGTATGCGTTAATTAGTGCACAGTAGAAAGCTACAGAAAGTGCTGATCCTTTTGTTCCCTCTTCGACATGCGAAACATGACGAAAAGCGTGGAGCGACGCTGAAACGAAGACACATTTGAGGTAAAACAGACCACCATGTCGGTTTGAAAGCTAACATTATCAAAGTGGTATTCAAGCTTGTAAGCTTACGTACTATACATACAGTTTATTCCAGTGCATCTACATAGTGTGAAATATGATGGAGGAAAAACGAAAAACACACACATATTAGATTCTTCAAACTGTAAACAGGCCGTTAACAGCCAGTTAACGGACCGTTTTTCACATACATGATCGGAGATGCTTTTGACCGTAAATAGACCGTTAACAGCCAGTTAACGGACCGTTTTTTGCATGCATGATTATAGATACTTTTGACCGGAAATAGGCCGTTAACGGCTAGTTAACGGACTGTTTTTAGGCCGTTTTTTAGGACTTTATGCTAAAGTGATTTTAGAATGATTTTTGAATGTTTCATGTCACATAGCATAGAGTACTTGGGGGTAATTAGAGACACTCTTGGAAATTTCGTTTTCTTTTTGCCATTTCTTGGCCGTTTTTGATTGGAAAAGCTTGCTATTGAACACGGTGTAGACCGAAGGTTTTTCTACACGCTCATGTAAAAATCTTTTGAAAATCTTCGACCAGTTTTGAGCCAAATCCGGGAGATAATTAGTTTAAAAATACCTAATTTTACAGTCCGGGCTTCTCTCTATGTACCATATTATTTTGAGCTCATTATCATTTAAAGTCGTTCAGCTAATTAGCATATAATCAACAGAACTAGAAATTCTTTTTTTCCTTTTTTATGCTCTGGGGTGAATAGCGACGCTCGTGTAATTGTGAAAACTACGGAAGATAACACCATATTATCCAACATATGTCCCATTTCAAGGACTCATATCATCCTGTATATGCACGTTATGCCAATGACGCAATTCAATTTGTGGCTTCCACAAAAACTGTTATAAGCCACCGATAGAGAAATACTCAAAGTCGCGGAATGTCTCATTTTGTAGAGAAATGTTTGGATTACAATCGTCTATACATAGAAAAATTTCGAAGTTATCTGTAATGCTCACATTTTTGTTAGATATAGCTTCAAATTTCTTTTCACAGCTGAGTTTTCAAGAAGAAACATTTCTCTACAAAATGCGACGTTCCGCGACTCTGAGTAATTCTTTATAGGCAATTTGTAACAATTTTCGCTGAAGCCCGAACAACAGTTTTTAACTGGCGTATGCCTACTGTCCATAACTTCATATCATCTTGTATATGAGTCCTTGAAATGGGAAACAAACGGTCCGTTAACTGGTTATTAACGGCCAGTTAATGGGGGACTTCCGTGTGAATAATAAATAGTCTGAAAACGTTCAGCAAACAGTCAGTAAACGGTGACCGTTAACTGATCGTTTTCTGACCATGGACGTTTTCAGACGATCTTTGGACCGTGAAACGGTAAGTTAACGACTTGTTTACTGGGCGTTTTTTTGCCGTTTTCATAACGTTAACGCGCCGTTTTTTTTGGACCTGGGCTATTTTTGCCACTAGAAAAAAAAGAGCCGGAGACTTATGTCTCATACAAAAGTTTGGAGAATTCATAACTGAATACACGGTCTAGATTCAGTACTCCAGGTTTTTTAAAGTATTTATTGATAATTCAAACAAATCAGGTGGTTATCGTTCGATTTCTTTGGTTTTACTTTTGCTTTAGGAAGAGCAGAGGAGAAGTCCTATGTATTGCATTTTTGTTCCTTGTACACACCACCCTCAACCTTTTTTCTATGTGCGAGTAGGACTGTTCTCCTTTCGGATTCTCGGATAAAATATATTTTAATAGTGAACGTATGAACAGAAAGCCAAAAAAAGTGCATTCTATAGAAGGTAAGACAGCTAAAAAGAAAAGAAAGTTAGTGTTCATAAACGTTAGAAAATGCCTTGATTAAAATAAAAAATATATCCTTGAAAAATGTTTCTTTCAAGGATATATTGTTACATTAGCTATAATTCCCGAACCACTACTAATCCATCTAATATAAAAGCTAATATATAACACTGTGCCCGGTGTTGTTGTAAATGTTTGACTAACATAATCCATTATTCCAATAGAAGAATCTGCATAACAGTACGAATCACACAGTCCGCAACCGTATTGAGCATTATATGGATCTTGAGACCAACCATATTGATAATTAGATGGATAGTCAAAATTTCCATTTATTAGAAGTTCTCGTCCACCACTTAAAACTGAAACTTGATCGATATAGGTACGGCCCCGATCATTTCGAAGACCAAATGTGAGTGTTTCGTTTATGGCTTGTGCAATGTAAATAGTGCTAACTTGAAAATATAATGGTGCTTCAAAGGATGGGTTTGAGAGATAGTAGATTTGTCGATTTGAGGTTGCGTTACGTGCTATAAGATGTAAATAATTAAGTATCATAGTGTTGAAAATAAAAACACAGAATTTTAGATACCTTTTGCTGTTATTGTTGTATTGATATTTGAACAGTCCAGTATCAGAGGAGTTATGACGATATTACCTGTGAATACAAAGATGTATAGAAGTAGATCACGCTACTACTCTTTCATTAGATAAACTAAGAGGGCAAAAATCGATAGTATGAGTTTCTTTAGTATCATCATTAAGGTTGACCGGTAATAAGATGCCAGACATCCCAACAGATGTCATGCAAAATGTTAAGCTTTGGTTATTCAGAAATATCGTAGACCATTTACTGAAAAAGCGTCCCTTGAATACTTTTGCTCACACTACAATTTTCAGATACAAAAGGCCGATTTCAGCTCCACAAGCGTTGTCTAAAAGTAGACAGCGCTTGTTGGACTGAAATTGGGTCTAACCTCTCTCTTCTATATCAAGAATTAAATAACTAAGCTTACTTTGAGTTGTCGTTGGCACTATAGCTAAAAATATGAAAGCAACATCTCTCATTTAAGTTAAAAATCTCTAATTTTCCACTCTGTTTCACATAACTTTTACTTACCACCATATGCCAATTGAAATGTAACAGTCATCGTTTGATTAGAAGCACTACAAGTATCTCCATTGATTCCACCCCAATTCATATTTCCAATACAAGGTCGTACTGCATAGCCCTGTGAATAAATACAGTGACACAATGATGGTGAATCAAGATTCAATTCGATTCCGAAACCACATATGCCAACGTTCCATCTATGTCCAATAATTAATGGCGAGGTATAATTGATCCCATTATACAGCGCATTGGCAATTTTACTAATAACAATTGAATCACTGATACTTATTCCAACAGGATTATTCGTTCCACTGATTGTTAAAGACGTATAATTGAAAGAGGATGAAAATAATTGTAAACGAAATAGATTCCATTCAAAACATTGATTTTCAATAGTTTCGAGGTTAGAAAAATTTTGTGAATAAATAATACGTGGTCCATTATTGTTGATGTTGGTAGTGGTGGTCGTTGCAGTCGTAGTTGCTAGGGGAAACGATGATGGTGCGTATTTACACTCACAAAGCAGCTGACTGACCTCACATAAGAGAAAAAAGATGGCGCGTTTGATCGCTGCTGAAAATGTCGCCTCAACGTACAGAAAAGGCTAAGAGCGCTTCGTCGAGTGGTCGAAATAAAACATGCGTTTATAGAGATTAAAACTCGAAAATTTTTGATTTTGCACACTGAGGTGTTCTTACCTGGGACAAATGGAGTTGTATTGCTGAATAGAAGAAGAAAACATAGATACTGAACTATATATGGTATAGAGACAAGTAGGAGACGACTCACTTTGATATCTTAAGGCACAAATTATCCATTACAAATTGAGCAATTGAACTTGAAAATGTAATTCGATCAATATTCGTCCAATCCAATTGTACGAATGTTGCTGAGTTCAACTTTAATGTCACATTTTGAATATAGAGAAGATATCCTAAACGAGAACCTTGCATTGTAACTGTATTATTATCGAACCAAGCTGATGATGCGTTAAACGACCAAATTGTGAACGCTGTTGTATTAGAAGAATTAGATGGTGGTAGAGAAATTGTCAATGGATTTGAATATATATTCACTGATACTGCTACATATTGACCACTTGATAAGGCTGTTAGATAACCGGAATATAAGCCATATACGGAAGCTTGAAGAACACGAACATTTGACCATCGTAAATTGAAATAACCGTTTGGAATGGTGTAATCTGTTAGATTAGTTAAATCATCGAATGTAATTAATGTTGAATTATTTGTTAGACAATCTACAATAGAGGTGCTGCTGCTTGATGAAATGGGATTAGCTGAGGACTCCTTAGATTCTCAGTCTATTCATTAATCATCACTAGCAAACATCAAAACACATTAGGAATTTCGAGATAATGACATTGCTTACCACTAGAAGCTGATGTTGAGATGGATGACGCTGCAGTTGAAGTCAGTGTTGGCATGCTTCTCGATGTACCTATAAAAACGAAAGACACTGAAGTAGCACGACAATCTTTAACGTACGACTTGTCCGAGCGTGACGCTTTTGACCTAGTATTTCTTAATTATCTCGGAAACGATGTCGGCTAGTAAAAGTCATTCTTGTGCCGTTTTGTAGACGTAATCTTTTCCTCTTTTCAATAAAAAATCAAAGGATTTGAATGCAAATTGTCGACTACAGGCCGAAGTTTTGAGGCGTGACGATGGGACAAAGTAAGTCCCTAAGCTTTTGATGAGATACAAAAGTCTGAATTTTTGGGTTGACCTGTTCGAGTAGAAGACGCGGACTTCACGTGCTGCAAAATGGTGAAAAAGGTTATCTCTAAAGGCAGTGTCGTTGTAAAATCGTGCTGTTGTAAAACCTCTGTAAAAGACAATGCTTTTGTAAAACCGGTATTGCCATATTGCGAAGCATTATGTATATAAGCGTTTGACCATTGGATGGTCAAACGCTTACAATGGTTTACAATGTTTTAAAATGATCGCCATTGTAAACTAAAGTAACTATTTGGAACAGGGGAGTCTGTTAGATTATTATTGCTAGTTACAATATCATCGAAGGTAAGCCATATATTGCCCATCTCGGTCGTAACTTCTATAATAATAACTTTTTCCATTCAGCAATACAACTCCATCTGTCCCAGGTAAGAACACCAAAGTGTGCAAGATCTCGAAAAAAGGACAAAAATAGATCACACTACCGTAATTTTGCGCTGAAACTTACTAGAAAATTAGCCATTTTGTAGAGAATTGAATTCTCTACCAAATGGTATATCTCCAGGACTGCCTCGGAGAAAAAGCATCTAGGTCAAGAAATTCAAAATACTGTTTTCCAGAAATGTAAAATGAGGTTTCTGAGCTCATATTTCACCTTTTAGCAGAAAATAATGCCAGATTTGTAATTAGCATGAAAAACTGCATTTAAAAGTGTGTTCATTCGGGCAAGGTTCGTAATATCCACTTTCACAAAACAGGAACAGGAGAGGATTTTTTTCGTTCGAAAAAACAGGAAAGTCAATAAAATTTCCAGAAATACAGGAAATAAGCGAATGCAGAAAAACGACAAGTGAGATTTATCACGATTTAATAATGTACTGCTAGACATAAAGTGAAAATTCACTTAATCTTATTTAAAAAATGTTATACGGCATTAAAACATAGTCATAGATAATCGTACGTATCAAGCTTATAGCTCTTTTTAATTATCCGTCCAGCATTATTATTGTTGTTTTCGTTCATCTTCCTCTTTTTCTATACGTACAACAACTAGAGGCGGATGGAGTATCCTTTTTCGGTCGCGATCCCGTAGTTAATTGTTTGGTTCCGATGAAAAATTTGGCCATAGAACACGAAAAAATGTTCCGCCACTGGCGGAATGTTCAACGCGGCTTTTTGCTATTGTACGGCCTTGCAAGAAAAAATTTGATAGAAAAGTGAGTTTGAAACTCACATTAGAATTTGATTCTACAGCAAAAGTTGTACTTTTACAAGACCAGTTTTTTGGCCCATGGTCCTGATCCGCCCATGTCTAACATCATACTTCAGTTTACTTTTTCTTTACTCTTCATGCCTTCTTTGTCTTTCATTTATTTTACTTCTTTCGTTCAGCATTTCTATATAAGTGTGTAGAATTTATACAGTCAGTCTTTATGGGAACATTCTGATCCTTAGTGTAAACATCATTTCTGTTAGTCTGCTCTTCTCCTGGTTCACTGAATAAAGTAAAATATTTGTCTAACTGATTTATTGGATTCACATAAGAGACAAAGACTTTCTAACAGATTTTAGCGCAGTCAACAGTAAGAGTGCAGAAAGAAGTCAAAATACGGGGAAAACAGGAAAATTCCGAAAGCCAGGATAAAACAGGATGTTCTCATACAAAAACAGGACAAATATGAAGCCTGTTTGAGTTCCACGATGAAAACGTTTTTTCAAAAACTTGAGCAGCTAAGGTTTGCGTTACGCGGACAAGTCGCAGAGTGATTTAGGACTACGGAACCATATCATCAGTTTAGTTAATGCTGACTTTTGACAGAGGAAGATGTAGTAAACGTAGGACTGAGACTGACTACAATTTTCGTTGATGTTAGAACTAAAAACAACATGAATTACAGTCATATTACTCTTAGCAAACCGCTTCAGTAGAAGAACTAGAACTTCGCGATGATTCTTGCCAGTGCGAAGAGCTAACCTTGCGCATCAGGCGTTTAGTAGTAAATGGAAACTTCTCACTACTGTCATTCAGTAAAAAGTCGTCTGATATCATGTGGGTTTGCATTTTTCTAATTTTAACTGAACTAGTTGATGTAGAAGGTGAAGTGTTATTAATAAATAGTATACTTCTGTTGCTAAAATGAAAGGGTAGATACATGGATAAATTACATACGCTACACACAGTCGACTCCCTCACTTCGAGATGCCGGTAAGACACAAATTATCCAGTGCAAAATGCCAATTATTTAAAGATGCGATATAAATCATATCAATTTTTGTCCATAAGTTCAAT